AGTGCTCTACCACTTGAGCCACAGCACCACTTCTGGCTTTTTTTCTTTTTGCTTATGTGGTGATGAGGAATTGAACCCACGGCCTCAGGCATGCAAGGCAAGCGCTCTACCACTGAGCCACCTTCCCAGCCCCTGTTCTACCTATAGTCTACATGGTAACTTTATCCCGCATGTATGCCATACACTGCCTTGCAAACCACTGGCCAGGACAGGCGGCTCATTCTCCTTGCTTCCTGGAAAGGGAGCATAATGGTGGAATTGCCATGTTTGAAACTTCCCACTGGTCATACATAGATCCTTAGGCTAAGGAGCGCAGGGGTGAGGCTCAGTGTGAGAGAGTGCATGTTAACATGTGAGACCTCAGGTTTGATCCCGAGCACCAGAGATAGCTAATACATAGCTAAGAGAAACTAATGAATTTTGCATTCTGCAGCACAAATAAAATGTTCTCGTGAATTTGGTGAGTGTAGGCTGTGACTGACTAGAAATCGGGATGTGCTTCTGTGGAAGATGAGAGAGGCCTCCTCAGGAATGTTAGGAATTTCATAAAGACGGATTTTGTTTCCTTCTTTCCTAAGAATGAATGCCAATTCCTCTTTACAGCACAGTGAAGCTCAAAGCCTGTCCTGAGAACTGTGAGTGAAGCCCCCACTCAAGCCTTCAATGGTACTGGAGCCCCCTGTAGCTGCTACTAGGAGCCTTTGATGTACTTGCTTTTCTTTTGTGCCTTAGTTTCTTTGATTAGCAGAGACATCAAGTTGTGGGGAAGGGGTTTAAAGCCCTACTGGAGGTGGAGGGCCTCAGGAGATGTGGCCCTTGGGCTGGCCCATGTCACTGTGACAAGCATCAGTTAGTTCCAGATAGAGAGGACCACTACATGGGCTTTGTATCCAGCATACCAAAAATGCCTTCCAGAGGTTAATTGTGCATTTATTGTGGTTGGGGAGAAGGCATTACTTGATTGTCTCAACAAATGCTGAGTTGTCCATGCTGTTGGAGACAGCAGACTTGGGGTTCAGGGCAGCTGGAACAGACTTGGAATCTTGCCTTGTGGCGCTTCCAGTACAAAAGGGAGGAAAGCAAATTGTAGCTTCAAACACAGAATCTATTTTTGCCTGTGAGCTTGATTGTGTTTTTGAAATAGTGTCTCAACTTGCGTAGCACAGGCAGACATTACTCCAAAAATTTAGGTTTAGAGGTGTTTGGTTTTTTGTTTTTATTTTAAAAAGAAGGAGAGATGCGGTTTTGAGACAGGGTCTTGCTATGTAGCCCAGGCTAACCTAGAACTTGAAGTCCTGTCTATCTCCTGTATGCTGGGGGAGGGGGGCGGGAAGGGAAGACTTTAAAAGGCTGAATCAAGTCGGGGAGCATGGCTCAAATGGTAGAGCACAGGATTCAGTCCCAGCACCAAAATAAAACAAGAAATGTTTAAAAAATACTTTTTTGAAAGAAGAACTTGGAGAGATGAGGCA